TTTTAGTCTGGGCCAGGAATGTGCTTTGTAAATGCTGCCTACTCTGCTGCAGCCCACAGGACTGAGCAGACCTCAGAGTTTTCAAATTGGATTCTTTCATGGGAAAATGAGCTCTTGAATAACTGCTAATGGTCGTTCAAGCCACATGCCCAGATTAGATCTAGTCTGAAATAAACTCCAAGGACTCGTATGGCAACTACAACTACTAGTAAAGGGTAGCCCATGGCCACAGGATAGAAAAATGCACGGAAGATGCTACTGAATGACAAATCACCCCAAAGTGAATATTATAGATGAGGATGGAACTCAAGGAAAGGTGCACTGAGGAGGCCAAGAGTTGAAAGACAGCGAGAATTACTAAAAGACGTGCTAAGTCTACCTTCATTTCAGTATCATTTGTAAAATCCAAGAGTTCTTCAGGCACATCAGTAGGGACGAAGGAATAATAAACAGTAAAGACAACATGTAATTGAAATGTAATTAAAGATAACTTCTAACATGAAAACAAAATGAATACTTCACCTCAGTTATGAGCAATTAGATAATCTACAATTCTGAATTCTGAAGGACATGGGAGTATAAAATCCCAAGAAAGCATTTTTGTAGTAAACCTCTCAATTCGGACTAAGACCCTATGATAGAAGAAAAGCAAATGGAAACATCTAAACTTAAGCAGGAGGAAGAAAACTGTATCTTCCATTGGTGGGGCAGCTGATTTTATGGACTTCTGTTCTTCTTTATGGACTTACGATTTTTCTGTACTTCATTTCCCATTGGAAGGTATTAAGTAGGAATTCTTACTATTTTAATAAGGATAATGTATTTTAAGGGGTGAATAAACTGGTAAAATGAAAAGCCTTTCTATTTTTTATAGGTAGAAAAATAAAACAAAGCCATGTCACATAGTGTGTTCTCAGTATATGCAAGCTACTGCTTCCAGAGATCCAAGACGACCTGTGATTCTCTGCAGCACCAGCAGCACTTAATAAATCCTGTTAAGACGTCTATTAACTCAAAGTTGTGCCTCCCATTTACACAGATTTCAGTTACCTTGTATTTTACACGAATCAAGCTTCTCCTGTGCAGAACACTCTTCAATCTACTCAGAACATTTTAGCAAAAAAATATAGTACATTTTCACATATTTAGGAATACAAAGAAATTTAAGAATGGAATTGGTTCATTACTGAATGACACAGGGAAACTGTCAGTGTAGAAAGAAGAAATACATAACATTTGTATTCTGTGTTTGTACAGGGAAAAAGCAAAATATTGTATCAATCTCTTCTGAAAGAATACTCTCACTCTAAGAATAATTCTGAAGAATGTTAAAAACTGGCTACTAAGACAACACTTTTTAAAATGTTTTGTGTCTAAGAATCTTTTAAAAGCAGGTAAAAGAACTTAGCAGACCACTGATAATAATTTCCTTTGTCACTATTCTTTTTTATTAGTACTCGGAATGTCAAGGAACCTTCTTAAGACTGAAAGGCAGCAGGTCCTATGCCAGTGCTATTAAAGGGCAAGTGAGACAACCTGGATAATTAAAAGCCCATAAGCCTGGCATCAATCCCAGAAGAATAATGGAATAATTCCTACAATTCTCAATTAATGAAGGATTAAAGGATATAGAATTAAGGCCAGTCAACATGATTTTTTTTTTTAATTTAAAAAAAGAGAAGTTGCCAAGCTAGCATGGTATCTTTGAAGAGATCACAGGAATCAGGTGCTGTTCTGTACTGCCTACTTCCACTGAACAGTTGGGATGGCAATGAAGTTCCCTGAAAATTGAACTTGTCTTAGAAGTGAGATTATACATCAGCATGACATGAAACACCTGCCCACCAGTTTTACTGGGCATGTAGAGTTTAATTGTGGTTTGTTTTTTTCCAAGAACTATTTCTCTTTCTTCCATTCACAGCATGCAAATGACAAGCTACTATTAAACACAATTATTCAAACTTAATAGCAAAGGCAAGCTGTTTGAAGACACATTCCTAAATCTCACTTATAGGAAAGAATTGATCCTGGGGTGCTGGTCTGAAAAAGGCTGAGTTTGAGATTCATTTCCTACGCATTAAGATGATCTACTTTCTATATCATTATCATAAGAAGTTCTGCTGCTTTGCAAAGTCCACAATAAAAATTCTTTCAACTTGCACAAGTTTGTGATGTTTCTCAGCTGATGTTCATTCAGCAATCCCAGCAGACCTAATTTAATTTCTAATCATTTCACCATGCTTAACACATTTTCTAAATTACTTTTGCATTTGTACTCAGAGGGAGTACAGGCTGATTTTTGCTTGTAAAGCTCTCTTCTCTCACCTCCATTGTTTCCTATGCAAAGGGAATGAAGCTAACTGCATAGAGCAGTTCAGTGATCAGCTGCTTTCAGTCCTTACTGTATTTCAATAATACTACGGCACACACTGTGGATTTCACATATTTCATACTCATAGCTCCAACCCCTATTGCATTACACAGAGAAGCACTGTACCTCATTTGTGCCTTCTGGGTGCAGGACATTTTTCAAGACAGCCCAGCAAAATATGTAAATGCACAAGTTCAAAGGTATAGAAAATGTGCCCCTTTTGTGCTTATTTCATTATGTTTTCATCTTTTTTTGCAATAGAAGAACGGTATATTTAAAGTCTTAAGCTATGTTGACATTATTATTATTCACGCTATACTATAAGCAAATAGGAAAACAATCGGAAAGACAATAGTACGCAATATATATAAATTAGAGTAAATGCTCTGGTATTTTGGCAGACACATGGCATAAGTTTTCGTAATTTGATGTCAGAAAATTTGTAAGATGTTTTTGCTGATATTCTTTTAACACCTCCAGCTTTGGTAATCCTTTTGCTTTTCTTGTGACAATTTTTTTCTTAATTTTCATTTTCCTTTGAATGATCAAAGAAATTTTTGCTCCAAAACAATCTTGTCATATATTAAAGTAATCGTGTCATATACTGAATTTACTTCCTACAATATTTCTTGAAAAGATCTTTAAGGATTTCTGACAAATAGGTTTGGTTACCTTCTCTTCAAAACCAGTATATAGATCTAAAGAAGTTGCAATATTCCTTTCATATTTTAGAATTTCACTTAATCACAGAATCACAAGGTTGGAAAGGACCTTCAAGATCATCAAGTCCAACCATTAATCCAGCGCCACCATGTTCCCTAAACCATGTCTTGAAGCACCACATCCACTCGTTTTTTGAACACTTCCAGAGATGGCGACTCCACCACCTCCCTGGGCAGCCTGTTCCAATGCCTGACTACCCTCTCGGTGAAGATCTGGAGACAAATGCACAGCTCAAATTTAATGCAAACTTGCCATGACAGACTCATGAAAGGTGTTAGTGATGACTTATGTAGACTGCAACTTTCTGAAGTCTTTCATTCAAGTGACCACAAGGTTTTATTGAAGGATCTTCAAAACAGTTCACACGTGGCTCTTCACCAGCTCATGTTCCACGCTGACTGAATTTATTCGTCTTCCATAATGTTGCCAACAAATGAAATCACACTAGAGTTGCAACTTGTTGTTCTCTTTTTCCATCCAGTATTTGATAACTGCACTGCTCCTAAATGTGCCATTTCCAACCTCAATCTTCCTCGTTTAATATTCCTCCATCTTAAAATTCTGATTTGTCCTTAAGCCCTTTGAAGAGGGCTACACAACTATTGTGTCTCTGTTCTCAGAGCCTAAATCCATTCTCTGAAAATATTAAATCTGGTTTTGCCTCCTTCTCTTTTTCGCTCTCAAAAGAGAAATAGAGAAGGAAGTATAACCTTTTCACACAGTGTTTAGTTATCTAAAGCAGTGTCCCTGATGCCTCATTCCCTCATTCTTTTAAAGTTTTCACATTAGAAAAGCTATCTTTCTGCTTCTTCTTTGATCATCCCTTAAACTCTATTTCACCTTACCACAGCTTCCATTATAACCAATGAAATTAAAATAATTATCAAATCTTATAAATATCTCCAAATCCTTACTACTCTGGAACTATTACCTTGTCCAGTGCATTCTATTCCGTTCTATCATGTTTATACAGTGGGTATATATAAAAAAAGAAAAGTATATCTGTGCAGTTTATAATGACATAAAAGAACAATGTTCATGAGTGAACGATACGATGCATAAACTTTAGTGTATTGTCTATGCAATGCCAAAAGTTCTTAATCAATACATGAGATACTCAAAACACATCAATAGTTACTTTAAAACTGCATATACTCCTGGAGAACCTTAATTATATTCTCAGAGCTCATTTATAATGAGCTTTTAATTAGAGAGGATGTCCTCCTATCTTAATTCTTAAAAGCAGAGAAATTATGAGATGGTAGGTAATTCTTAAAATAACATGCTTCAACATACATTTATTTTTCTTTTATTATACCAGAACTGAAAAAACTCCTTGCTTAAAGTCACTTGTGTTTTACTTACTTACGGCAGCACAAGTGTATAATAAAGGAGGACTCTATTTCCTTTCTCATCAGTAAGGATGGGGACATCCCACTAACGGATGCCTCCTCTAAAATTTAGTAAAAGGTCAACAGAAAATTTATTGCTATGAATAAGAGCTAAATACATTGTATGACTACCTCAGATTGGGAGATGACTGAACAGGTTTTCTTCCATTATTTAATTGTCTAATTGGCCATTCTCCCACACTGTAAAAAAATAAACCACAGCATAATACTTTACAAAATGTCTGCATACAGTTCTGTGTAAATCGTTTCACAGTACTTCACAGCATAACTCGTCATGAGAAAGACCATTTGCTTGGACAGCATCCAGTAAAATCGGATCAATAAACCCATCTTTATTTTTTAATTCAGCAGCTCAGCTTTATTTAATTTTCCAGTTTCTAGTATTGCACAAACACACTGCTGTATAACACATTACCGTCTAGGCTGCCTTTCTGCTTGGACAGACACATCGCATTTGTCATTGTTAGGATTCAACAGGAACTTGATCTGATTACCTGGTTTGCTTTCATTTGGTTTACACTGAACTTCTTCAACACATTCTGCAGGAAACCATCCAATATGTCCCCGGGTGCTGCCTTCCCAGAATCCACCTTCACCAATGCTTAAAACTAAACACAGAGAGACACAGGAAACGTTAGACTTTTTTCTCTTCTTATGTAAATATCAAGATTAGTTACATAACATGCTTAGTAATAATTTAATATCATATTGGTACAAGCAAATGTTGTACAGTAACTCAAGTGCTGGTACCCCCAAAAATGGGCACAGGGTACCCTTAAAATGCAACCCTTCCTGAGCAGTCTTTGGAGCCTCTCCCCAGATTTATTTTTGTCACAAGTTCCTTGGCCCTCACATAATTCTTTCCATTTTCAGTTTTCTCATTGCTGCTTTTGTCAACCATAAAGGCATGGTCATATTAAGACCAAAAAAATTTGGCTTGCCTCTTCAAATTAAGCTGAAGTGCTGAACCTATTGTAAAACTGAACCCACACTGAAATTGGGTTTTAATAATACATATTTTGATATCTCATATGTTTTCTACTTCCTGAGGAAACATGTTATTTTATTTAGTGGGTAGCTCCAGAGATTTGTAATGTAGGTTGAGTAATATGATTTAACAGCTTGAGTACACAGCAAACACTTGAGTATCCCATAGGTGTGATACACAATGTAGATGCCTTTTGAAACATTTAAGTGATTTTTCTCGGTAGAAGATAGCGACAATAGGAAAGAGAATGATTTACCAATAGAAGAGCGAGCTTTATCCTGTAGTTCTAATTATCTTGATATTAATCGAAGGATTTAACAAGCATTGTGACAAAAGACTGCAGAACAACAATGTATGTTTTTACTAACAAGCAATTGGAGATGAATTACAACAATGAAAGGATCCTAAATAATTGCTAAGTATTATGTTTACATTAATTTTCTAGAAGTTCCTACAAATCACCGTATGTTTAATATATATAAAAAGAACATAAATGTACTACTAAAAACATACTATACATTAATATCAGAACAAAGATGGTATTATAGATTAACAAAAACACCATTAGCTCATTTAAATAGGGTGATTGGGAATATAGCTCAGTCATACAACACACGTCCTCAGAGTACATCTGTACAAAACAATGTTCAGTGGAGAGGTCCCTGAGCTACCAAAAATAAGCCCGTGGAAGTCTAAGCTCCATTAGCTCTGTGCTAGCTAAGCCGGCCAAGCTAACTGGCCCTGCTGAAAATCAGGGCTAATTAGCCCAAGCACATCTCTTTGCTAACGTATGCATATGGTTTTCAAGACGTGGAATAGTGTCTCTGCAGGAAATTTCAGTATGGTAGGGATATTAACTTGCTCAGAGCTACTTTGATGATCTCCAACACGAGCACTCTTTGCGCTTTTAAAACATACCGTATCAGGCTTTAAAACTGTAGTCCCGGAGCCTGACTGCAATTGAATTCTCTATCGGTGGAACTGCTGTGACTCAATGGCATTGGATTTGAACTTGATTTGCGCTACTATAGAGTAAGATGAAAATCAAATCAATGATAGGCCAAAAAAACAATTAAAAAATCTTGGTAAAACTAAAGAGGTAGTAAGAAGTCTGGTTTGACACACCAGGATCTGTAAAACTGCATTTGAAATTAAATGTTTACCTAGTTTCTCATTAACGCAATCATAAGCTACTTGTGGTATTACTCATGGAACATGGATATCTATGAACATAGATAATTGACAGAAAAATGTTTTTAAATGTGTCACTTTTAAGTTCTTTAATGTAGTAAATTCAGAGATACAGATTCCATAAACTGCATATTTGCACATCACTGTCAGTAAGAAGTACATATTACGCCCCAGGAAATATATCCATTAAGGCAAAATCCTACGCCTGGATAGGTCCCAAATGCACGATTTATCAAGCACGTTTCTGACATATACGAGGAAACCTATACCTACCCGGGTAGTTACGGGATAATGGGGGAGAGCACAGACCTTGAAAGACACCAACTCCACAGTGACACTTAAGGTGACTAAAAAATTTTTAGCATGTCTTGTCTTTTAGTTACCTAACACCTATTGATATTGTTAACACAAGCAGAAAATATTTCACCTCTACATTTAAATGCAAACAAAATGAAGAAACCAGCTCTGTGCTTTAATTGTATTAATAAAATAAATAATACAAAAATCAAAATATTAATAAAATATAAATTTGGGGCATAATTAATTAAAAATATGTTGAAAAATTCCAGTTGTTCTTGAAATTGTTTAAAGCCTGTGCACATTAACACACAAAGTCAATTTGATAATTCAATGTTACATAAAACAGAAGCCTATTCATTCATCCAATATATATTGGGCATTCGTCAGCTTCCAATATATTTGTAACAATGTAACCTCTGTTCACATAAGAATAGAGGTTACACAAATGTAACCTCTGTTCCTTATGTAGGAGATAAGGCAGTAGGAAAACTTAATTAATAACATATATAGATATAATTATTGCAGGATCCTATTATACTTTGATTTAACTTCAAATCATAAAAGTGAGTGTAAGACTCCAGCCGGAAGAAACTTCCAAATGTGAGACACTGAAAGATTCCCATTACAAGTAATCAGGGTTTTTTTTGAGGAGAGTTTTCAGCACTGAATCTCAGTCCTGATTTCACTCCACAAACTGGCAAGACAGCGAGAACAAAAACTACTTAAAGATTGAGAAAGAATTCTCTAATTCAGTATTTTATTAATCTGTCATATCTGCTACTTTGACATTCCACATTACGTGGATATTTCCATCTCCAAAAAGCATCTGCACCGGAAGAAGGAAGTTGGGTATTTTACCCATGGAGTAATTTCATGTGTCTATGGCAGTAGCAGCTGATAAGACATCCAAATCAAGATGGGAAAAGAAATTTGCTTTCTAAGTCCATCTGTGGGTGCAAGGCTAAAAGCGGTTACTACAAGAAAAACTAGTCCCACTTAGATCGTTATTACATGAATTATTAAATATTAGCAATTACTAATAGCAAGAGCAAAGCAAACACACATGTAGTCCTGCCTGAAGACATAACGTCTACGGAAAAGAGGCAGAAGGGGAAATGAGGTGTTGCCAGAACGCAGCCAGCCTTCACAATTCTGGTTCAAGCCTGTCTAGCGATTACATCTACAAACAAAATGACAGTACCTTTGCACTTACTGTCAAGGAAAAACGTCATTATGGGTGCCAAGAAAGGAAGGGAAAGCCTGATGGAATTGCAAGAAGCAGAAAGATGACTGATGAGGCAAACGTGGGGTAGCCAGCAATACAGCCGATATCCAGAGAAAGAGATGAATTGTTGGTGAGATGGAGGAGAAGCACTTATGGCCTAAATGTACTCAAAATGTGGAAGATGAGATCTAGATGGCTCTGCACTACCAAGAAACTTGAAATAGTCTTTTTAATATATCTCAGGTGGTACCATTAATAAGAAATTCTGCAGCAGGAGCCAAAGCCATAATAATCTATGTATCTATAAAAACTGGCAACACTTCATGTATTCTGATGTGGATTACTGGGAACTGAAAGAATAATCAAACAATATAATTTATCTTTTGTAACCATGAATGCTTTTTTAGAATGAGGCCTTAATTTCTGTCTTTTCCCTCTCACTAGAGTGCTTAAGAGACACGTAACAGATAATTTAGTACCAGCAAGAGATTTTCTAATCAACATTTTCCTTTCTGACGGACATAACAATGGTAAATCAAAGGATAACTTTCCCAACATTAATAATTACATTTTATAATTTCAAGTATTTTTTCCTTTTGCTTTTAGTAAAAACAAAAGATGTGGTTGCTATGGCAAGAGCAGGCCAAAGTCTCTTTACACACAACATGAATAACAAAATTAATCTGATGTTATAAGAGTAAAGTAAGGTTCTAGTAACACCATGAATCCTGACATGACTTCGCACAACAAAAGCATAGTTTAAAGCAAGAATTATGCTCAATTATATGAACAAAACTACAAATCAAAATTGGACAAATACCAAATAAGTGAGTAACAGGAAAACATGTAAAAGCAGGTGCCTACTTTCTCGTATTTTAGTATTAAAATACTTTCTTGTATTTTAATCTATTTAAAGTATTATACTTAATATCAGCCAGGTTCTGCTTTGCCAAAGTCCAGAAAAAAACACAAGAAAATTATATATAGTGCCAATCGAGCATAGGATGTTTTGTCTATTGCAACTTCTGTAAGTTTATTGACAATGTATGTATTGTAACTAATATTAATATCACATACTCATTTCAAACAGCTTAATTACTCAATATACCACCAAAAAATAACATTAATCAAAACAAGAAAGTTTTATTCTTCCACATTACAGCTCCCTTCATAACGTCACAATCAAGAAGTAGAGTATAAGAATATTTTTGCATAAAATGATGGCGCAGACTATTTCTAAATTCCTTGTGATGTTGAAAATTCAATGAGCGAACTAGTCTAGGTATCCTTATTTGCAAAAATGTCAATGAAATTTACAGCCAAATTCGGGTCACTGTCTTTATAGCTACTACAGGATATATCTGAAATGTCTTTGTAATATCTACAATCAATTTTTAGTGCTGTATAAACTGCATTCTTCTTTCCTAGGAAAAGAAATAATTATATGGATTAGGAATGACAGATCATCTTCTGGAAAAAGAACAACATTTCTACAACTAAGAGAAAAAAAGAAAAACTAACAGAATGGCAATACAGTATAAAGTAAAATTGAAAATCCATTGAAAAATGTAGCAACTGAACTAGCCTATGGTGATGTAAGAACTAGCAGAGCTGAAAGAGTTACACTTGCTAGTCAAGAGCAGCTGAAGATCTCAATACTTCTAGTGAGATGAGGAATTATGTAAGGGGAAAGCCCTCTAGAACACACAGCAGGAAGCAGAAGATTTCACCATTTCATTCTCGATCTGAAAGGGATGGTGACAGTGTCCGTTCCATTCAAACTGCAGCACGACTGTTACCTACCTTGATTCCACTGGTCTGTTATTGATAACAAATGCCATTTACCTAATGAAATACAAAGAGGTTTCTTCTGAATTTCAGCTAAGCAAGGTTCAGTGCAAATT